CCTTATTCATATATGTATTCAATGTTTGGTTGTGTTTACTATGCTTGGTATGATACAATTGTTGTGATACTACGCATGACGCCCTCCACCCCAGAACGTTTCCGCCGTTCCGGTTTTGGGGTGTGACAACAATGCATGGACTTGATAAACTTGTCTGATAACTCGTCGAGTTGACTCGGGTTTTTGAGATTTTCTGAGTTCTGAAGGAACTCGACGAGTCGGTAAGCTGCACTCGATGAGTTGGGTCTACATGGACTGTTGACCTTGACCGTTGACTTTGACTTTGACAAGGATTAACCAAGTTTGACTTCAAAGGGTATTTGGTAATTTGGGAATTTATGGAATTGGATCAATATTGGTTTTAGGTGTTTGAGTTTGGAGTCGTGTTTCAGAGTTTGATCTTTTCAACTCAGTTCGATATTGTGAGGTGAGTCTTCCTCACTGTACTGACAGGGTCGAAGGCACCAATGTCGGCCCTTCTTTTTGGATTTTTATCCTGGTTATTGTATGATGATATGCTTAGTGACCTGTTAGGTCGTTATCCTGGTATATATGACAATGTTATGTTAGTAACCTGTTAGGTCGATATCCTAGTATATAGGATGATGTTATGATTAGTGATTTGCTAGATCGGTTTGACTGTTTGTACATGCCAGCTAGCGTTTGATATATATATATATATATATATATATATATATATATATGTGTGTGTGTGTGTGTGTGTGTGTGTGTGTGTGTGTTGATTGTATGTTTGGGTTGGGTTGAGGCATACCTGCATTGTGCCGAAGGCCAACATACCCAGGGCAGCCCGAATAGACTGCAGGCCCAATGGGGAATATCAGTCAGGTCGAAGGCCCGAAGAACGGTCCAGACATGCTGAAGGCCCAGTAAGGCAGACCAAACATGTTGAAGGTTCTGAGAGTGGGCCAGATAGACTGAAGGCCCGATGAGGGCGGTCTAGTCATATTGTAGACTCTATATGCATTTTGTTTGCTATGATATTGTTATAGTTTGTTTGGCGTTGGTATTTTGGTGGAAACTCACTAAGCTTCGAGCTTACAATTTTGGATTTCGTTTCAGGTACTTCAGATGATCGTGGGAAGGCGAAGGCTTGATCATGCACCTCCTCACATTTTATGACTTTGATTTCTAGGATACTTTGATATGAAACTATTTTGAAAACATTTTGTAATAAATAATGGTTTTGAATGCTTGAAAAAATTTTAAAATTTTATGAATGTTACATCTATCCAAATTGCACCAGATCTGATATGTCATGTGTTTTAGAGAGAGAAAGTAAAGCTGAAACAACTTCTTGACTTCAGATCTGAAACCAAATGGCGATCGACAATGATGGAGGCAGGCGGTGGTTATCACCGTTCGCCAGAGCTTATAACCCGGAGGAGAAACCAAAGATCTGAAGTCGAAAATAGTAGACCCAAAGACGAAAATTATAGATCTGAAGAGAGAAATCATAGATCTGAAGCTGAAATTGTAGATTTGAAGAGGAAAATTATAGATCTCAAGCTGAAATTGTAGATCTGGAGCCAACCGAAACTTGTTAATCTAATGGTGGTGGTTCGTCGTTGGCAGCGGTTCGCCGGCGGTAAGAGGCGATGGCAGTCAAGGATGGTGGGTGGTGGCTAAATGGTGGTAATGTTTGTGTGTTCATCAAGTTTGAGATGATAGAGAAAATAACCATGTAAGAATATATGTAGTGTGTAGGTCTGGTTATAAAATAGGTTCTTACGGTTCTTAATTTTTAGTGGTTCTTATTTGAACATTTGCATATATATATATATATATATATATATATATATATATATATATATATATATATATATATAGAAAAGTGAATATATCCTTAAGGGTATATAAACTTTGGTATCCAAACTAATCATGTTACGTCGTTTTGTATCACATATATACATTGTAATTGTCCAATGTTCTTCTAATTCAACTTCTAACTTAATTTAGTTTCAAAATTTTTATAAAGTTTACATTTATCTTCCTTTTACATAATTTTCATTTTAAACTATAATATATATAGCTTAATAGGTGTTCGGCATAAATATGTGATGTAAGAGGAAGATTAGTGAAATTTTGAAAATCTTGAAATTAATCAAGTTAAAGGTTGAAGTTTAAGAACATTATAACGAATATATTAAACAAAACAACGCATTATGGTGGGTTTGAATACCTAAAATTATATACCCTTAAGGGTATATTCACTTTTCCATATATATATATATATATATATATACACACACAAAATACTAGGGACGTGAATTGTTATATGACCCGTCCATTAAAAATTTAAATTCTAAAAGAAAAGAATACATTTTGGTCATTAAAAATTTAAATTCTAAAAGAAAAGAATACATTTTGATGCATACATTGTTACTTTTATTATCATTTGAATTATATTGTCATCGGTCATATTTTGTAAATTATTTGGCTTATCATAAAAATTGTACATATTTTTATATTTGAAATTGTTTAGTTTTTTATTTTAAAATAATGTAACGTTATATTTCAAGATGGATGACATGTCTTTATAACAATTAATAACAAGATTAAAAGTAAACAAACTCATCTTCTCTCTCAAAAATATGCCACCCGAGATTATCTTTTTATATCAAACACCATTATTTTAAAAGGATACTATTAAAAAGTAAGTAGTTGGAACGTTTTAATTGTTTTTAATAATATTTTATGGATAAAAACAAAGGAATAAAAACATATCGTTTGTTACCTATTTTTGGTAATCATTTAAAATGTTTGGTGTTTTCTTAAACCAAATAGTTAGTTACTCGTTTGTGATTTTTTATATACTTTTATTTATTTTATAAGATACAGATTTTCAATTCAAGCTTGTTTTATGTTTTTATGCTAGGCTACAGGGAATGTAAAGATTCTAAAGTTGTAAGTATCTATGAGGATCATAATTTTCGATGCTTTTTTTTAACAGAAAATTTAATTTATTTTTTAACTACTCATGTATATAGATATGTTCTAGATGAGATTTGATCATTTAACCTTAAGAAAGAAAGAACAACATTTGATATTATTGGGCTAAAGATTATATAATACTAAATTAGAAAAATCATGAAAAACACAAGACATTGTTTTCATTAATGAGATTTTCTAATATGTGCTTTAGGGCACATATAATAAGCATTAATTGAAGATATATATTACCATAATTAATTATAAAATATATTAATAATAAGAAATATTACTATAATTACATGTGAAGTGCATTAATAATTTCCATAATAAATGTATTTCGAATTTAATTATTGTAATATTTTTCATAATTAATATTTCTTATGTGTGCCTTAGAGCACATATTAGAAAATCCTTTCGTTAATTAATATCATTTACTTTTTTTCACAAATTGGAAACGATTGGCCATCGGCAATACAAGTAGACAGGATTTTACCCCTAGACGAAGTGAAAAGCCAGTATAAAGGTGGATAGTGGTTGTTACAGATCAATGAATGGGTATTACCAGCTTAAACAAATGCAAGAAAAGAAGCTTGTAAAGCATCTATAATTAATCAAGCTTTTGCTTATGCATTTACATATGTTAAATATTAATAATGTTTTACATTTACTTTGTTGTTATTTTATATATGATTCTGTTGTAAATTACCATCGAAGACGTTAATGTTGTTTTCAAAAAGGATAATCCATGTCTATTGGTAGGAATGTTTTTCATTAATATTGTAATTTACTCTTATTTTAATTTTGTTTTCAAGAAGTAGTAAATTTTGCTGTGAACTAAAAAGGGAATTTAAAATAACATTTTTAAACAATAATCTAAATTGTGAAAAGGAAATAGACTTGTACATTGCAAATTAAGCATATGACAGTATAATTTATAACCAAGAATGAACTCAATTCAGTTATTAAATATACGTCAAAATCAAGAGGCATTTGGTCTAGCGATATCAGGTATGTTGTAAAAATATGTTTTATCCAATAGGTTGCGATTTCAAGATTGTGGTAAACAAATGTATATCTATGAGTATAATTTTGTGGTAAACAAATGTAGATTTATAAGTATAATTAATGGGTGTCTTTGCATTAGGCATTCTAAAAAAAACCGTTCATGTTAGTTTATTTAATAGATGAACAAATATTAACAAAATTTTTTGTTTGCTTAGTTAAACGAACAAATACAATCAATGGTCTTATTAGTTCATTTACATTCGTAAGCATGCATTAATCTTCGTTTATGTTAGTTTTCGTTCTTTTATGTTCGGTTATTATGCTATATTATATGTAATATTATACAATTGATTTTTTTTTTAGAAACGGTCATATTATTAGAGGAACCCACAACTAGGAAGGAACTAGAGGGGAACAAACAAAGTTATACAATTGATGATAATGAAAGTAGAGCTTAAGAGTGGTTCAAAAATTTTACAACTTTTAGATTTTCTAAGAAAACCAAAATTGAAATTACTACAATCAACATACTATAATCATTAACAATCACGTTTAACAATTCTTCATTTGAATGTTACTGTCCATTTATGCTCGGTTATGTTCATATATATTCATTTATTTTGATTAATGTTCGTTTATTTATGTTCATAGGTTCATCTATATTTAACATCTTCACAAACACAAACAAACAAAATAATTTGTTATATAAATTATGTGAAAACGAAAATATGTTAATCTATATGTTCGTGTTCATTTAACGAAAATTTGTTACTCGATTTATTTACACCATAATTATGTTTTTTTGCAAAAGCTTGGGTCTAAAGGAGACAAGTGTTCATGGGGCCTTTAGTACTTGGTAGTGGGCACAACGAGGCAATCAATGATGGGAGTGAGTTGCATTACACAATTAAGTAATGCACTACATTATTTTAAAAGTAATGTGTGAAACAAAATTCTATTCAAGTTTGTACATTTAGCAAATGGTGTTTCTACTCTTTATCTTAGTTTTTCTAATGTAAAAATCATTTTGTCATATTCCATTAATGCTCATTATAATCATAAAGATAAAGTTGACAATCTCTCCACTTTTAGACATAGGAACTTTTATGGACAACTGTATGAAAACATTTTCTTTTTATTTATTTTGTTTTTTTTTTCATTAAAACGCTATTAAACGGAGATTAATTCGTCAAACCAACTACGATTAACATTATCCTCCTTGTCGCTGGTGTGCTCAATGACACTGTTGCTTCAATTGATTTTGTTGCCGTTGAATTTCAGCTTTTTCCATGGCATTTCCATTCAAAACCCTAATTATCTACTTCCATTGACTTCTTTCTATAAAATTCTCACTACAAAACGGTTTTCGTGATCCGATTATCAGTTAATCCAACGATGAATCAACTACAAAGCATCCCTTCTTCTTCCGACGACGACTCTGGTTCTATGAACACCGCTCGACAGGTAACCGGATTTTCACGCATGTTAATTGTACTATTATCTTCTTTTTTTGTGTTTCAAACTTTTGCTTATGTATGCGTATTTGCATTAACGCCATGATCATAATCGACAACAATCGCATGTGTTAATACTCGTAAATTATTTCGATTGAATGCGTATTGTTACGATATACGATTGAAGAATCACATGTTTATGTCCAGACTTAATGTTGATCTGTGTAATTTTGAGGAAATTTTTTTCCAGTTGTTGCTTTCAATCTGTCAATTAATAACAGATACGTCAACAAAACACGTCTATCATTCATTTAAAACTAAAATCGTGATCATCCTATGATTTTCTCGTTTAATAATCCATGCTCATAGAAAGAACATCACATAAATCAGAATTTGATCGTCTAATCGCGTTCAATTTTGATCCAATTAGTGTTCGAACCTTTAGATGATATGATACATGATACATAAATGTTTGTAAACAGGTGTTAGGCATTTTAATCTTCTGTACTTATTGTTATGCTGTTGTGTAATCCACGGATTTCTGATACATAAATTTGAGATGTGAATTTGAATTATAGAGTGCAGGGCAAAGCCACATAAGTGGAGAAAGTGGTAATTCAATGGTAATGGGAGCAGGTTTTGAAGGCTCGCGTCATTGGCATGATGTATTCTGGCTAGGGATCTTTCTATTGCATTTAATATTAGTAGGTCTTGCACTTGGGGTACTTGGACTTAATAGGTTTAGAAAGAAAGATAGACTTAAACTGGATCAATACACATACAAGTTCCTTGGAAATGAAGCTGATCTAACAGAAGACTATTGGCCACTTTATGCCATTGCTGCTGGAGTTGGGACACTTCTTGGATGGGCTTGGTTGTTATTACTTGGTTCACGTGCAAATCAAATGATGAGGATTTCTGTCCACATATTGACTACTTATCTTGCAGTTCTTAGTGTTTTGTGCTTTTGGGGCAAAATGGTCTTTTGGGGTGTTGCTTTTGCTATCGGTTCTGGTTTGCAGTTTTTATATATCATATCCGTCATAGACAGGTAATACTCAAGACTTACACTTGTAGATAATATATCTATGTCAAAAGTTATTGCTTTTATAATCGTTGATTAGAATAATCAGGTGATATGGGATTTACAAGCATGTATATTACTCTATTATCCTCTACCACTTCAAATTATTATTTTGAATGGGAAAATGCAAGAAATAGCAATGTAGTTTCTATTTTTTTTTTCTTATTATAGCATTGTACTTCAAACTATTTCTTATTAGAAAATTGTACTTAAAAAAGTTCTCACATCATAGCAACGGATTCCCACTGATTTGAATTATGCTGACATGGAAAAAAATTTTCAAGAAAACTGTTCACAAATGTATCATCAAAATTTTGTATCTTAACACATCATACATTGAATCAAATATTTTCATAATAAATAATAACATAACTCCATGAATTAAACATGTTCACAAATGTTTGATGCTATAATTTTAATATTTCATATGGACAGTTTTTAATTAAAAAGTCATGAACTTGTTGCCATGTCAGCAATATATTACCTGTTTACGGCCTATGTGGACAATGACATTTCATAAAAACCTATTTACTTGTTCCATGTCATCATAATTCAAAAACATTTCAAAGTACAATGCAATAACATAAGGAAAAACTAAAGACTACATTGTCATTTCTAGCATTTTGCCTTGCTATGAAACAGTAAAAAAAGGATTCAAATTCAACAAAACACAATCCTTTTAAAACATACATCTTGATTAAGTATTTTTGTCTTGTATTCAGACTTCCATTTACAATGTTGGTTTTACAAAGAGCTGTAAAAATGGTATGGAGGCTTCCAAATGTTATGAGAATAGCATGTGCATTCATGGTAATCATGTGTCTATGGCTATCCCTATGGTCATTCGGTGCAGCCGGTGTGGTGGCTTCAAGCATCGGTGATGGTGGACGCTGGTGGCTACTTGTGGTGAGGTGGCGAGTTTTACTTTATATAAAAAAAAAAAGATTCTTTTATTTAGGACAAATTTGCCCCTCATGTGATGACAAATGATATTTTACTTTGTAGGTTTTGTCAGTGAGTTTGTTTTGGACAGGGGCAGTTCTTTGCAATACTGTTCATGTGATAGCATCTGGAATGGTGTTTCTTGTGCTTATCCATGGAGGTCAAGAAGCAACATCAATGCCTAATAATCCTTTGATGCAATCTTTGAGATATGCTGTGACTACTTCTTTTGGAAGCATATGTTATGGATCACTTTTCACTGCTGCTATTCGAACACTTCGGTGGGAGGTAAATATTTATATTTTTATTTTTATGTACTTTTCTTTATCTATTTTGTTGGATGGAATGGAATGATAAAAAGGAATGGAATGGAATAAACAAGGTAATGGAATGAGTTAGAGTTATTACATTCCATGATCATGTTTGGTTGGTCTGTAGGATTGGAATGAATTTTTTTATGTTTCATTGAAATGCAATGTAGAATTTTAACTCTACTTTGTACATTATTAAATTCTAATTGATAAATTTATATTTAGAAAATGAAAACACATTAAGGGGTAATCACTAAATGACCAAAAAAAGGGTGGTCTTTTATCATCATTTGACCACCTTTTTACAGTTCATAAAAAAGTAAATTGCTGGATTTTTATTATTATTTATTTCATGAAAATCATGTCATTTTGCAATATAAAAAAAATTGCAATTTTTGTTTTTTTAAAGATTTCTCTAATTTTGTGTGAAAAAATAATATTTTGCGAAATAGTTTGTCATTTTGTGATAAAAGTTGAAAAGTTGGTCATTTTAGTGATTAAAAGTCCATTGAAACCCAAATAAGATTGTAATAAAAAACAAAATTTCAAGTTACTTTTATAGAGAATATAACTGTTACTTAATCGAAGTCAAGAAATTTAAAAAAGAAAAAAGAAGATTTTTATTCATTATAAATTACATAAATAAAAATCGGTTACATTGAAAATTTACATTCCATTCCATGATGGAATTAAAATATAAAAGCTCCCCCTACCTAAGGAATGAAAATCAACAAAAGGGAAGGAATCACATTCCTTCAAGAATGGTCCATTCCATTCCATCACACAAAACAAACAGTTTTCTCTCATCATTCTAACGGAATGAAGGATTCCATTCCATATATCAGATTAGGGGATTCAGATCAAAAATTGGCAACAATGAATGTCTTCTATGCTGTGTTGACTTCCTCTTTCATCTAGTTGAAACCCTTGTTCGTTTCTTCAACAAATACGCATACGTACAGGTGCATAAATATATATATATTTATATTTCTTTCAAAATCAATTTATACCATCTGACTTTTCGGGCTTAAAAAATTTTATTAAAAAATTTTAAAACTTTTAGATTGCAGTTTATGGGAAAAGTTTTAATCACTCAGCAAGAGACGCATGGGAGTTATTCCAATCAACTGGTGTTGAAGCACTTATTGCCTATGATTGTTCAGGAGCTGTTTTACTAATGGGGACACTTTTGGGTGGGCTTATGACCGGAACTTGTGCTGCTGTTTTGACCAGGATTAAACATTCTGACCGTGTCATCATGATGGGGTCCACCGCAGGGTTATTGGGCATGATCTTGGTAAGTAAAGGTTAAACTACAAATGACCATTTTGCCCCTATCTTCATCTTCTCCCTCTCCTTCATGTTCATCAAGAACTGGTGTTCATGTTACATGTAGATGGATGAAAATGAAAGGGGTGGAACAAGACAAGGGCAAAAAAGTCATTTTACATACTTAATGGCTTAGGTGTTAACTTAAACGGTAGGGATGAAAAATGATACAAATGCAATCAAGTTGGGGTGAAAAATGTTAAACTTAAGGGACCCAGTTCATAAATTTTGACAAACCACTAGTTTTTAGTTCTAAATGTCAAGGCCATACTCGACAAAATTGTTTATTTTACTTTCTAAACATATTTTTATAGAAAAATACATTTTTGGTCCCTAAGTATAGTTGATTTTTTTTCAATTTTGATTTCAAATAATTATTTTGCTCCTCATTTGAGGTTTTTAATCTTTTATAACGTTTTGGTTGTAGTTCCAAATAATACAACTATATTTTAAGGACCAAATTTGCAAAATTCGGCTACGCTTAGTGATAAAAAAATAGTTATTTTACTTGGAATATGGACCCAAAAAATTATATAACCTTAAATAAGGACCAAAGTTCCAAGAGAAATTTTTGGGACAAAAATTGAAAAAGCCAGCAAAATATAGGGACCAAAAATATATATATTTTCACTTTCTTTTATAATATAATAAACCCCTAATATGTTTTGTAGGTTGGATTGGCGATGGTGGTGGTTGAAAGTGCGGTTACATCGATATACATATGTTATGCAGAAGATCCATTGTTGATACACAGGTGGGACCCAGAGTTTTTTAACCAGATGTCAGAGACGCTCCACGAGCGTCTCCAACATAGAAGTTCACGAGGAACTCAGGTATTGAACCGGAATCGGCCTGTTGTTGTTGACCGTATACAAGAAACAATTACCGTATGATTCTTAAACATTTAGTTTTTAACTTTTTTGAGAATTTAATGGTCATTTTGTTTTATAATGTATAGTTTTTTGTTCTTATGTTTGGGTCATGATCTAATTATTCACTTTAGTAAGAAACTAAGAATGATTTCAAATGTTTTATTATCATATGATGTAATGATCGTGTTTGTATTTTTTTTTTTTTTTTTTTTTTTTTTTTTTTTTACCATGGATAACGTTTTAGGTCAGTAAAATTGTTTATATATAGACTATTTTGGTTAAATTATTCTCATTGCTATAACAAAATCATAAAATATTTCTCATTTTAAAGAAATATGCAAAATATAATAAAAATATATATATTCCAAACTGGTCCCCATCGTGTGTATTTCAGAAAAAAAAAAATAGCTAAGCTATATTCTATATAATTAAATTCTTAAATTCATAACCCAAATATAAATCATACAAAATTTTGGACGAAAATATTACAATAAGCCAAAAATTGCGCCCAAATTGATAATTTTGGAACTTATTTACGTAAACTAGGCCCAAAATATATTAAAATGGAAAATTACAAAATTAGCCTAATACGTTAATTACTTTGTGGAAAATAGCAAAAAAAAAAAACGGAAATTGCAAAAATAACCCCTAAGTCGAAGATGGAAACACCCCATCTGTGATTTTCCATCTCCATCTGCAAATGTACAAGTACCTACGCTCTTGTACATTCACAAATAGATTAGTCCATCTGCGATTCCGTGAGTCCATCTGCGATTTCGTAACAGGAATTGTATAAAAACATTTTTTTTCCCTTCATTTTTCAATCACAAGTTTAGGAAAACTCTCATTTCCTTTGGCGATTTCTTCCACAAAATGGATAATTTTTTCAACAATCCTGAAAATATGGTAAGATTTTAACTCATTTTATGTTTTAATCAACATTTATTTAGTGTATGTTTTATTTATTTATTATTTATTGTATTAGTTTTTGTAAAAGAAAATCAAACTTTATTGTTTGTTATTGGGTAATTTTGTTGTATTTGATAGATATAATATTATTTATTAGTATTCTTAAAGTTTTAATGGTATTTTGTTAGTGATTGTATGACTGTACAAGTATAGATTGCATAAAATGTGTATTGGCTTGTTGTACATTTAGTAAAAATGTTAGAATATGTTGTTTTTTTAGGGATATATACAGTAAAGTCCGAATATTTTCATCGATTTGACAAGAAAGTCCTAAACTTTATTTTTTTTTTACAGTAAAATCCAAATTACCGGTAGTTTTTGACATTTTTACCCTTTTTTCCCGGTTAGCTGGTAATTAGGACTTTTTTGTTAACAAAATAAAGTTTAGGACTTTCTTGTCAAATCGTCAATTAGGACTTTACTGTCAAAAAAATAAAGTTTAGGATTTTTTTGTCAAATCGTTGAAAATATTGGGACTTTAGTGTATATATAATTTTTTTAGTTAGAAATTTAATGGTATGATACTCTTGAAGCATAAGAGTTATTGAAACATTCTCTAATCAGTTAGATCCTATTGAAATCATTTATGTTTGCTTCTTGTTAAATCGTTTTTTTAATCTCAACAAACCGGCATTGAAAAAAATTGAGATAATCAGGAAAGAAAGAACCAGAGTTGTGTTGACTTTTTTCAGTCTCAAAAATGGAGAAATTAGAAACAAAAAAAAAAAAAAATTACTCTGACTTTATACAAACACAAACAACACATGCGTAGTCAAAAGGGTGTAAATGTGGAGAAGGGAAATAAGGGCAATTTGGTTTTTTCGATTTCTTATTTCTCCATTTTTGGGGCTGCAAAAAGCCCACACAACCCTGGTTATTTCTTTCTTGATTATCTCAATTTTTTTCAATGTCGGTTTGTTGAGATTAAAAAAACGATTTAACAAGAAGCAAATGTTAAGTATTTCAACAGGATCTAGCAGATTAGTGAAGGTTTTAATAACTTTTATACTTAAAGAGTATCATACCATTGAATCTCTAACCAAAAAATGTATATATATATATACACTAAAGTCCCAATATTTTCAACGATTTGACAAAAAAAGTCCTAAACTTTATTTTTTTTGACAGTAAAGTCCTAATTGACGATTTGACAAGAAAGTCCTAAACTTTTTTTTTTGACCAAAAAGTCCTAATTACCAGCTAACCGGGAAAAATGGGTAAAAGTGTCAAAAACTACAGGTAATTTGGACTTTAATGTCAAAAAAATAAAGTTTAGGACTTTCTTGTCAAATCGATGAAAATATTGGGACTTTACTGTATATATCACTTTTTTTAAAGTTGAAAGATGAAAAAATTGTTCCAAATCATGTATAAATATAATTGCATGCATGTAGTTTGTTTACAATAATAATTACAATACTATTGGTTAGTGGTTGTTTGTATAGTTATCGTATAACTTGAAAATTTGTAAATAGTTGTCGTTTAAGTTTAAAAATTGATATAGTTTTTTATTGTTTTTCAGCATAAATATAGAAATTATTGATTGAATGTTGGTTTATGCTTTGTTTATGTTCGTAAATTGAATGTTAGATTATTTATTCCATTTAATATCCGAATATTTTTAAAGGAAATAGTTGTTTAGCTTTTAATATGTTGTTTTTTGCACTATGATTATAATAATTTCAATGTGAAAGCTATTGTGAACTTAAAATGATCGGGGTGTAACATCTGGGAAGTATTTGAGGTGTTACATGGTTCAAGACGCGATATTTTTAGACGTACTGTTTTTGGTTACTTGTTGGACGTCCCTCATTTATAAGGGGACGGATTGTTGTTCCACAAGATGTTTTTTCATCAGATACGGCCGGACGATGTTTTATCCCTAGATGACATAAAACGGTTATATTTTAGAGTCACGTATACGAAAATGACATATGGCCCGAAGGAGTTTTGTTTGATAACCGGGTTTAATTTCGACGAGTATCCCAAAAATATTGGCAAAAAGTGTTAGAAAAAAAAGTTGCTACTAAAAAAAGAAATTTATTGCGTGCACGTCTATTTCCGAACCATACAAATAGTTCGGTGAAAATTGGTGACCTGGAAAATTTTATTTTAAATCATCTATTCTTAGAAGCTAGTGACGATGATGCAGTTAGAGTGTGTCTGATATACGTTTTATGTGAATGATTCTTGGGAAAAGAAATAAACGATCGGGTGCCGCAAGATTGATTTTTTTTGGTTAATAATTTGGATGTGTGGAACAGGTATTTCTTTGTTTACTTTGAAAGTTTCATATTATTAATGTTAATTTATATTATAAATAAAATTTTTTTGGCAGTTCTGCTTGGGGTAGCTATTTGTGAGACTTTACCTATGTCGACCTTGAGGATACGTGGAACAAGATAGATAAATATTTATTACTGTCGGAGCGTGGTCAAACTTTTAAATACTCCGTTTCAGGATTTACGGTGCCATTTAGGGTATAAAAATTTATTATTATTTGTAAGAATTTATTGATATGTTAGTTATTTTAATTTTAATTTTTATCATGTGTCTATGGCTATCCCTATGGCTATTTGGTGCAGCTGGTGTGGTGGCATCAAGCATTGGTGATGGTGGACGATAGTGGCTACTTGTGGTGAGGTGGCGAGTTTTACTTACAAAAAAACCTTTTATTTAGGATAGATTTGCACTTCATGTGATGACAATTGACATCTACAAATGATGTTTACTTTGTAGGTTTTGTCAGTGAGTTTGTTTTGGACAGGGGCAGTTCTTTGTAATACTATTCATGTTATAGCATCTGGAATGGTGTTTCTTGTGCTTATCCATGGAGGTCAAGAAGCAGCATCAATGCCTAATAATCCTTTGATGCAATCTTTGAGATATGCTGTTACTACTTCTTTTGGAAGCATATGTTATGGATCACTTTTCACTGCTGCTATTCGAACACTTCGGTGGGAGGTAAATATTTACATTTAAATTTTTATATACTTTTCTTTATCTATGTTGTTGAATGGAATGGAATGGAAATGGAATGAGTCAGAGTTATTACATTCCATGATTATGTTTGGTTGGTATGTAGGATTGGAATGAATCTTCAGCTGAATTTTTTTATGTTCATTGAAATGCAATATAGAATTTTAACTCTACTTTATACATTATTAAATTATAATTAATAAAATTTTATGAAGAAAATGAAAACAAATTAAGGGTTAATCACTAAAATGACCAAAAATGGTGGTCTTTTATCATCATTTGACCACCTTTTTACGGTTCTTCTTAAAAAAGTAATTTCCCGGATTTTTTTATTATCTATTTCGTGAAAATCATGTCATTTTGCAATATTTTTTTGATGATTTCTCCAAATTTGTGTGAAAAAAATAATATTTTGCGAAATAGTTTGTCATTTTGTGATTTAAAGCCCATTGAAACCCAAATGATATTGTAATAAAAAACAAATTTTCAAGTAACTTTTATTGAAAATATAATTGTTACTCTCAACTGAAGTCAAGAAATTTAAAAAAGAAAAAGACGATTTTTATTCATTATAAATTACATAAATAAAAATCAGTTACATTGAAAATTTACATTCCATTCCATGATGGAATTAAATAAAAAACACCTCCTACCTAAGGAATGAAAATCAACAAAAAGGAAGGAATCACATTCCTTCAAGAATGGTCCATTCCATTCCATCACACATAACAAACACAAAACAAACAGTTTTCTCTCATAATTCCGTTGGAATGAAGGATTCCATTCCATATATCAAATTAGGGGATTCAGATAAAAAATTGGCAACAATGAATGTCTTCTATGCTGTGTTGACTTCCTCTTTCATCTAGTTGAAAGCCTTGTTCGTTTCTTCAACAAATACGCATACGTACAAGAGCATATCTTTACTATCTTATAAAAGAAATCTAACTATTTCTAAAAATAGATTGATTATAATAAAAATATTTTTTTAAGACGTCCAAATGATGAAGCTGATAGTTCAACTAGCCATTAATAAAATAATATTAAATTTTAACCACATTTTGAATTCAAATATTTATCATCAAATCTCCTTATATTTCTCAGCAATTTGATATGGTTCCCTCAAATCTCGGATTCATTCAAATTTTGAACCCTTTTCGATATCCTTAAATTTAGCATGTTAATTTAAATATCCCTCCAATCGCAGATACCTCTTTGTTCCCTCGTCTGCTATAAAGCCCACCGTCTAGGAATAAAAAATGACTTTATCTCCCAAATAACACCATAGTTTGATTATTTTGTCTTCGACATGTACTTTCTTTTGTAACATAACATTTTTGTAGAGGAAACATATCACCGAAAAAATTTACACACCCCGCCGCTTTGCGCGGGTACGCTGCTAGTATATATATATATATATATATATATATATATTTCAAAATCAATTTATACCATCTGACTTTTCTAGCTTAAAAATTTTTATTAAAAAATTTTATAACTTTTAGATTGCAGTTTATGGGAAAAAGTTTTAATCACTCAGCAAGAGATGCATGGGAGTTATTCCAATCAACTGGTGTTGAAGCACTTATTGACTATGATTGTTCAGGAGCTGTTTTATTAATGGGGACGCTTTTGGTGGGCTTCATTTATCCCTATCTCATTTCCACTTATTCCTACTCTATTATTATTATTTTAACTAATTAAATTAATGAATATATACATTTTACTAATCATTGATACTTTTAATAATTAAACTTATTTACTAAAATATTATTAAACTTATTTACTAAAATATTATTTAGTTTATTTATAGATAATTTAATAATACTATTTTAATAAAAAATATAGAAATATTTTTATTTTATTAAAAAAAATAAATTACAACACAATGATAATAAAATAATATTTTGACATAACTTCTAATATAATATTTAACTATTTAAGGAAAAAAAACAAACTTTTTTTAAGGCAATTTAAATACATGAACTAAAACTTAAATACATTAATGGTTTATCATGTCACTTGATATATATTTATGATTGATTTCCTTTTTTTCTTTAATATAATAATGGTTTCAATATCAATTTTATTTTTTAATAACTTTAATACTTTCAAATTCACCCCTTATTTTATATAGAAGTTAAGGTTAATACCTTTATTTATTAAGATTTTAGTACATATCATTATTAATCTTTTATATTAATTTGATGAAAAAAAAACGTTTAGTACTTTTGAATTATACTATTTGATATTTTTGAAAAAATTATATGTTTGGTCCTCTCTTTCTCTCTCTCTCTCTCTCTTTCTCTCTCTCTCACTCTCTCTCTCTCTCTCTCTCTCTATATATATATATATATATATATATATATATATATATATATGACTAAAAATATAATTTTTTCTAAAAGATCAAATAATATAACTCAAAAGTCCTAAATATTTTTTTCATCAAATTAATGAGAGAGAGGGAGAGTGTATACACACACTCATGTATGTATATATATATATATATATATATATATATATATATATATATATATATATATATATATATATATATATATATATATATATATATATATATATATATATATATATATATATATATATATATAGGGGGAGAGAGGGGGCTAAAAGTATTTTTTAGAAACTTAGAAGGATATAAACTATAAGTAAGATCAAATTAAAGGGCTATAACTATAAATATTACATATTAAAGAATTCGTAGATACCTCGGACATACCTGTGAGACAATTGAAAGATTTCATCACTTTCAAAGTCACTTTTACCAACATTTTGTAAAATTAACATTTCTATTATTTGATTGGTTGAAAATCTTAAAAGCAAGTAATATTAAAATATATCACCTAACAAATAATTATTCGAGGGTAAATATATAATATCACGGTAGGAATAACATATCTCTTTTGGGTGGGTTTATGACTGGAACTTGTGCTGCTGTTTTGACCGAGATTAAACATTCTGATCGTGTCATCATGATGGGGTCCACCGCAGGGTTATTGGGCATGATCTTAGTAAGTAAACGGTAAACTATAAATGACTATTTTGCCCTTATCTTCATCTTCTCCTTGTCCTTCATGTTCATCAAGAACCGGTGTTCATGTTACATGTAGACGGACAAAAATAATAGACAAGGGCAAAAAAGTCATTTTACATACTTAATGGCTTAGGTGTTAACTTAAACGGTAGGGATGAAAAATGATACAAATGCAATCTTTAGGAGTGAAAATGTTAAAATTTTCTCTTAATGGACCCACTTCATAAATTTTGACAAACCACTAGTTTTTAGTTCTAAATGACAAGGCCAAAATTGTTTATTTTACTTTCTAAACATATTTTTAGATAAAATTACATTTTTGGTCCTTAAGTTTAGTTTTTAGAAAAGACAAAATTGCAAAAATGGTCCCTGTGGTATGCATTTTTTTGGGGTTTTGGTCCAAACTTCGATATTTTTTGATTGGTGGTCCTTTTGAGCTAGTTTACATGCAGTTTTGGTTCCTGTCCAAACTAAAAAGACTATTATACCCTTAATGAATTTAATTTTCATTTTTCTTTCACTTTTTAAAATTATTATTATTATTAAATATAAAACTAGGCCCACCTCCCTACCACTCCCTCTCTCTCTCTCTCACACACACTCTTTCTCTCTCTCTCTCTCTCTCACACACACACACACACACTCGACGTATACAAGCAGTCGCCACTTGTTAGCATTCAATGACTCCGCTCGATCCTCCCACCATCGATTTCATTCAACAACGCATCAAAAGGAAGCTCGAAGATTTCAGATGATGACCGCTCCTCCTCCGACTTAGTCTGCGTCAGGAAGAGAAGAAACGATCTTAACCCCACCTTCTCTTCTTCTTCTACCTGCTCCGACGGTGGAAGGGAAACGATAGGTGGCTGTAGTTAGTGGCTGTGGGCAGCCTTGCTGCTTAATTTCTGTTGGTGGATGCTCGATGAGGGACCAAGACGAAGCAGAAACGACGATGGCGTTTGGTGGTGCTAGGTTACGACAAGATGGAGGCGTTTGGTGGGTTTTGCCAATAGTCACAACGGTGGTGGGTGTTGCAGTAGGTTTTACCAACGGTGGTTAGTGACGGAGTTGTGGTGGCAGCTTCACTACCTTTGTTTCCTTTCTTTTCAGAAGAGCTCAACGAGAGAGGGGGCTGGGAGGAGCAAGGTTATGGTCCGGAGGTATTTGGGAAGGGTGTTTGCTGGTGGTGGGTCACGACATGGGGAGGTGGAGGAGGTGTTCGAAAAATTAAGTGGGTTAAGATGGTGGTGGTTGTTTCCTCCGATCAGTAGCAAGAAGGGGGAAGAACATCGTGGTGTAGGGTGGTGCCTGGCAGCTTGTTTGACAGAAACAGTAAGGAATAGTGGTGGGGCTCAACCAAGACAGACGAGGATGGTTTTCGGTGGGGTTGTGGTGGTCTATGGCGGCAGTCGTGGTGGTGAGCAGCCTATACCGGTGTTACAATCACCGGTGCTTTCTTTCTTCAAATGGTGAGATACGAGAGAGAGAGAGAGAGAGAGAGAGAGAGAGAGAGAGAGAAAGAGAGAGAGAGAGAGAGAGAGAAATAGAGAGGGGGGAGATAGGTGGGTCCCACAATTTTTATTAATAAAACTTTATATTAAATAGAAAAAAGCATAGAAAATGTATCAGAAGGGTATTTTTGTCTTTTTAATTTTACGAGGGACCAAAACCACAAACAAAGTAGCTCAAAAGAACTGTCAATCCAAAAAAATCGGGGTTTGGACCAAAACCCCAAAAAAATGCATACTACAGGGACCATTTTTGCAGTTTTGTCTTTAGAAAATGTTGATAACAAACATAAACAAACCATCGCTATCATAAAACAGGATAAAGTTTTCTTTTTTATCGTAATCCAGCTTTAAAAAGTTTTCTTTTTTAATTGTAGTTTATGAACTATCTATTATGATAGTAATCGTAGTTATGAATTATTGTGATGAATAACAAGTAGTGAATCTTGAAAAAATTGTATATAATAAAAATTAACAATTTTAACTACTCCATTAAATAGAAATTAATATATTGTAATTTGATGATTAAAGATATTGAAGACGTTCACTTACATTTTCTTTCTTTCGAGTTTACGAATCGTTTAATATATATTAAATATATGATACAATTTGAAGCTGGATATTACGTTTTATATATCTATTTATTTGAATATTGCAAATGCTGAAGTTCTTTATTTCCGGTATCTTTAAGCATTTTAAACATGATAAAAAATAATTTAATGTTATGAGTTTTTAACTCATATAAATTAAAATCATGTCTAACATACTACGATCACTACTTTAAAAAATGACTTCAAGTTTTATTATATTACTAACAATAATGGTCTTCTCCACCTCCTCCTCCACCACCCTTCCCTTCACCACCACCACCATCCCCTCCACCTTCAATATTGTCTCTAATGTTGGTCATTGCATGTCAAGAGAGTGTGGTTTTTCGGAGTGTTGTTGTAGTTTCCGGACGCGGAATTGTTATAATAATCGAAACGAATGTATTAGAATAGTTAATAACAAATGCCTTTTTTTGTTTATCAATATTATTTAGTATACTTGTATTTTAAAGCGTAAAACAAAAGAATAAATGTATTTATTAATAATAAATGAACTAATAGATATATTATTTTATTTAGAGTGATATAATCATAAATATAAGTTTAAGTAATTTATAGTTTTATCAAAAATTAATTGTTAATTTATTTTATTATTTTTTAATTAATAGTTAATTTTAGAGTTAATTTTATTGTGTACCGTATATATCAACATGGAAACATAGCATATTATGGATTGTTTTTTATTAGTTCTATTGTTTAAATTGTATATTATAATTTTGAATCAAAATTTTCATATGTATATTATTTATTTTGAAGTTTTGAATTCTGCCCCTAGATATAATGGTTGTGTTCATTAACTGTTCCTTCTCTTCTTCACTAACTCTTTGAACCAACTTCCGTGGTTAAATCCATTATTTTTTGGTTATTTGTTGATAATTTGGAAACATTTACGTGATATTCTGAATCGGGTGATTTCGTTTCTAAAACATCAAGCCCGTATTTTTTGCTGATGTGGCACCAGATTTAACCTCAAGAGCATTATCAAGAAGATCTGCAAGATCAAGAGACAAAATTGCAACAGAAACTTCTTGGGAATTGGTATTATTGATGCAAGAGGTGGTAATTTCACAAACCGAACAAACTTCTGAGGTTAAATCCATTATTTTTTGGTTATTTCTTGGGCCGTCATTAGTTGCTTTGGAAGCAAGTAATGTTAATTAGGATTTAATGGGGATTTAGGGATACCAAAACTAACGAGTTCCGTTAGTTTTACCATAATCACCCTCAAGAAAATTGAATTTTTCACTATGTTCCCATATGTAAAATTCGGTGAGGTTTTGGGACGTTGCTCCTCGACCCTACTTGCTGAAATCATGTGTAAAATAGTACAATCACTACTTTAAAAATAACTCCAAGTGTTATTATATTAGTAATAAAAATGGTCCTCTCCACCTCCTCCTCCACCATCGTCACCTTCACCACCACCACCATACCCAACACCTTCAATATTGTCCCTAACGTTTGTATTTGCATGCCAATAGAGTGTGGTTATTCAGTGTGCTGGTGTTGTTTCAGGACGGGGAATTGTTATAATAATCGAAACGAATGTAATAACAAATACTAATTTTGTGAGGAATTATGTATTAAAATAGTTAATAACAAATGTCTTTTTTTTATGAATATTATTTAGTATACTTGTATTTAAAAGTGTAAAACAAAAGAATTAATGTATTTATTAATATTAACATAGCATATTATGGATTGTTTTTTATTAGTTCTATTGTGTAAACTGTATATTATAATTATAAATCAAAATTTTCATGTGTATATTATTTGTTTTGAAGTTTTGAATTCTGCCCCTACATGTAACAGTTGTGTTCCGCTTATGTTTTGAAACATACGCTTTTTCACTAACTGTTACGTCTCTTCTTCACTGACTATTTGAACCAACTTCCGGAGTTAAATACAATTTGAAGCTGGAAATTACGTTTAATATATCTATTTATTTGAATATTGCAAATGCTAAAGTTCTTTACGTCCGGTATCTTTAGGAGTTTTAAACATGATAAAAATTAATTTAATGTTACAAGTTCTTTAACTCATATAAATTGAAATAATGTGTAACATATTACGATCACTACTTTAAAAATGACTTCAAGTGTTATTATATTAGTAATAATAATGATCCTCTCCACCTCCTCCTCCACCACGTCCCCTTCACCACCACCACCATCCCCTCCACAATCAATATTGTCCCTAATGTTGGTCATTGCATGCCAAGATAATGTGGTTCTTCGGCGTGCTGGTGCAATTTCCGGACTAGGAATTGTTATAATAATCGAAACGAATGTAATAACAAATGCTAATTCTGTGAGAAATTATGTATTATAATATATAATAACAAATGTCTTTTTTTTGTTTATGAATATTAGTTCGTATACTTGTATTTTAAAGTGTAAAACAAAAGAATAAATATATTTATTAATATTAAATGAGCTAATAGATATATTATTTTATTTAGAGTGTGATATAATCATAAAAATAAGTTTCAGTAGTTTATAGTTTTATCAAAAATGAATTGTTAATTTATTTTATTATTTTGTAATTAATTGTTAATTTTAGAGTTAATTTTATTGTGAACCGTATATATCAACATAGAAACATAGCATATTCCAGATTGTTTTTCATTAGTTCTATTGTTTAAACTGTATATTATAATTTTGAATCAAAATTTTCGTGTGTATACAATTTATTTTGAAGTTTTGATTTCTGCCCACAAATATAACGGTTGTGTTCTGCCCATGTTTTGAAACATACGCTTTTTCACTAACTGTTCTTTCACTTCTTCACTAACTCTTTGAACCAACTTCCGAGGTTAAATCCATTATTTTTTGGTTATTTGTTGATAATTTGGAAACATTTACGTGATATTCTGAATTGGGTGATTTCGTTTCTCAAGCATCAAGCCGTTTTTTTTTTGCTGATGTGATACCAGATTTAAGCTCAAGAGCTTTATCCAGAAGATCTGCAAGTTCAGGAGACATAGTTGCAACATTAACTTCTTGGGAATTGGTATTATTGATGCTAGAGGTGGTAATTTCACAAACCGAACCAACTTCCGCGGTTAAATCCATTATTTTTTTGTTATTTGTTGGGCCGTCATTAGTTGTTTTGGAAGCAAATAATGTTAATCCGGATTTAATGAGGATTTAGGGATACCAAAACTTACGAGTTCCGTTAGTTTTACCATAATCACCCTCAAGAAATTGAATTTTCCACTATGCTCCCATATGTAAAATTCGGTGAGGTTTTGGGGCGTTGCCCCAAATTTCGCGGGGGCGCTGCCCCTCGACCCCGCCCGCTGAAATCATGTGTAACATACTATCATCACTACTTTAAAAATTACTTCAAGTGTTATTATATTAGTAATAATAATGGTCCTCTTCACCTCCTCCTCAACCACCATCCTCTTCAACACCACCACCATCCTCACCACCTTCAATATTGTCCTAATGTTGGTCATTGCATGCCAAGAGAGTGTGGTTCTTCGACGTGTTAGTCCAGTTTCCGGACTCAGAATTGTTATAATAATCGAAACGAATGTAATAACAAATGCTAATTCTGTGAGGAATTATGTATTAAAATAGTTAATAACAAATGTCTTTTTGTGTTTACGAATATTATTTAGTATACTTGTATTTTAAAGTGTAAAACAAAAGAATAAATGTATTAATTAATATGAAATGAACTAATAGATATATTATTTTACTTAGAGTGTGATATAATTATAAAAATAAGTTTCAGTAATTTATTGTTTTATCAAAAATTAATTGTTAAATAATTTTATTATTTTTTAATTAGTAGATAATTTTATTGTGTACTGTATGTATCAACATGGAAACACAACATATTATGGATTGTTTTTTTATTAGTTCTATGGTTTGAAATGTACATTATTATTTTAAATCAAAATTTTCATGTGTATATTATTTATTTTGAAGTTTTGAATTCTGCCCCTAGATGTAACGGTTGTCTTTCGCTCATGTTTTCAAACGTACGCTTTTTCACTAACTGTTTCTTCTCTTATTCACTAACTATTTGAACCAACTTCCTAGGTTAAATATAATTTAAAGCTGGAAATTACGTTTAATATATCTATTTATCTGAATATTGCAAATGTTGAAGTTTTTTACGTGCGTCATCTTCAAGAGTTTTAAACATGATAAAAAATAATTTAATGTTATGAGTTCCTTAACTCATATAAATTGAAGTGATGTGTAACATACTACGATTACTACTTTAAAAATGACTCCAAGTGTTATTATATTACCAATAATAATGGTCCCCTCCAAGTCCTCCTCCACCACCATCCCCTTCACCACCACCACCATCCTCACCACCTTCAATATTGTCCCTA